TGAAGAAATCATTAAGTAATTTAAGCCTGGAAATGTGCTAAGAAGACCTCGTGTGTTTTTGAAAAAAGAAATAATAATTTAATTCATATTTAGAAAATAAAATAGAATAAATTCTCCAGTGCTAAGCAGCAGCAACATTCTATCAAGACATAGGATAAATCATGAGTAAGAACAGGGAACCACCACTGTCTCACATAAATCTTTTTAAATAGTACTTACTAAAATTTATTGTGATTTTTCTCTTTACCCATCTATCTACCTAAACCAAAACATAATTTCTTAAGAGAAGCATCTAGGTATAGTACATTCTCCATTTTAACCCAGCATCAGAGCAGTTGTGCCACATAGTAACTTTTTGTTAAGTATCTATTAAGTAAACATTCAAAGTAGTTATGTGAGCAATATTCTAATTCTAGAGGCATCCCTGTGAACATGTGATAGGGAGATTTATTTTGTCTGCAATTCATGTTTCTATGAGTTATATGAGTTTCATGCTCAACTGCTAAATTAATTTGAAGGTAGAATAAGGTTATAAAATTGAATTTGGTTTCATACAAAAATATTTGTGAGCATCTGCTATTTTCCTGGAATCATTCTATTTGGTCAAAGTATATCAATGAAGAAAATAGACCTAAACCCCTGCCCCGGTACTACCTAGAGTTGAAGATACATCTTTTATTTTATCATTTCCTTCCTTTGATGTCTATAAATGCTGGAAGAAAGCAAGCCTCCAATAGTTAGAATTCATCAAATGAATCTCATAAAATATGTATTATTTATTTTATTTTTGTCATACCTTTAACCAAAATAATTTGATTTCTGCCAAATAAAAATAACATTAATAGTAGTTTAAATGGCATTAAAGAACCCACTAACCGTAACCCATCTGCCAAATTAACCACATTCATAGTTAATGAATTAACTACTTAGTCATATATAATGTAGAATTTTATTTGAAACCATTGTTTTGAGACTTCCTTCAAAATATTCTCATGCTATGGCACTTTTTAAAATCTAGTGTAAGAAACTTGCATGAGACAGAAGTTTCATTTAAATACAAATGACTAGTGAATTATATGTCATCCAATATCTCCATATCTCACACTTTCTGTTCTTTTGATGGTTTGGAACACCAATACATTTGGAAGAGAGATAGTTTTCTAGTTATGCTGACCATGCACTGAAAGGGCATTTTGTCTTATCATATGTCTTTAAAATGTTACTGTTTTAGTCACTTTCATCTTGTCATTCAAGCAAAAAAAAAAAAAAAAAGAAAAAGAAAAGAAAAAAAGAAAGAAAGAAAGAAAAGAAAGAAACCTGACTAAGCTTCTATGGAGGACAAAAGTAAGAATAATCGCCAAAAGTTATCAGTGAAGTAAGCATAGGCTCCATGAAAATAATGAACCTTCAAATAGTTCTAGTGTCTAATAAGGAAGTCGTCTCCCTTGAAAAATTGTCTGTTGCAAATTCAAATAGAGGAAAAGCAAACTTCTATTAATGATACCATGGGAGGAGTTTGTATTTTGGAAAAGAGAGTGAACTACAGTGTGCTTCTCTAACTCAGCAAGGTATGGAAGTCAATATAAAAGTTTGTCAATAAAACAGATTTTAGGGTTGCAAATTCATCTATCTTTATTTAATATGTCTGGGATATTGAAGTTTTGTTTCTTTTTTTTCTTTTTTTTATTACACTTTAAGTTCTAGGGTACATGTGCATAACGTGCAGGTTTCTAACATATGTATACTTGTGCCATGTTGGTGTGCTGCACCCATCAACTCGTCAGCACCCATCAACTCATCATTTACATCAGGTATAATTCCCAATGCAATCCCTCCCCCCTCCCCCCTCCCTGTGATAGGCCCCAGTGCGTGATGTTCCCCTTCCCGAGTCCAAATGATCTCATTGTTCAGTTCCCACCTATGAGTGAGAAACTGATGTAGTTTGCTTTGCTGTGCAGAAGCCTCGTTTAGTTTAATGAGATCCCATTTGTCATTTTGCTTTTTTGGCCATTGCTTTTGGTGTTTTAGACATGAAGTCCTTGCCCACTAGTACTGTCCTGAAGGTACTACATAGGTTTTCGCTCTAGAGCATTTTTATAGTATTAGGTCTAACATTTAAAGTCTCTAATCCCACTTGAATTAATTTTCGTATAAAGAGTAAGGAAAGGGATCCAGTTCAGCTTTCTACTTATGGCTAGCCAATTATACCCAGCACCATTTATTAAAGAGGGAATCCTTTCCCCATTTCTTGTTTTCTCAGGTTTATCAAAAGATCAGATGCTGGTAGTATGTTGTATTATTTCTGAGTACTGTGTTCTGTCCATGGTATTATCTCTGTTTTGTACCAGTACCATGCTTTTGTTTTCTGTAGCCTTGTAGTATGTTTGGTCGGTAGCAGTGATGCCTTCTGGCTTCTGTCTTTTGACTTAAGGTTTGCTGGGATGGCGGCGCTTTTGGTTCATATGACCTTAAGCAGTTTTTTCCATTCCTGTGAGAAACCTCATTGGTAGCCTTGAG